GGGGGGGGGGGGCACACATGCATGCAACCACACAACCGCATCCACGCGAGCACACACATACAGACCCACACAGTACGGAGGTAGCAGTTGGCCGACAGGTAGGGCTGCCTTAGGACCTACCGTCGGCCTGTTCTAGGTCTATGTGAGCCGTTGATCCAGTAGTACTGGGCCAATGGCCTGGATTGTTGCGAACTCTTAAGGTCTTACGATCACGCAAGGACCCAAGCTGTCGTACCGGTAGGATGCAACAACCCAGATTCGATATTTGTTACATTCTGCATCAATCAGAGCTGCGACCCACTCAGACTGTAGATGGCCCCGATTTGAGATTTGATACATTGTGGGTTTTAATAGAGTAGAGATTTTTGCAGCATTCTGATTTCATGATTTTTCAGAGATCTCAAAAATGTCAACAGAGGAATTCCCAATGCTCCAAAAGACACCAAATTTGGCACACAGCAACCTTGAACCAAAACAAAAACAGGCAAAAAAATAAAAAAGAAAAAACATAAAATTTGACCGCCAAACCCTAATTTCAGTTCTCGCCCGCTAACCCAACAGCTGAAAAGTGGGAGTCCCCATTAACCACTTGTAACTAAAGCAGATCCTTCTGAAGTCAAAACCCCTTTCAACCCTCTCCAAACCTCATGTACAGCCCCCTTTAACAGCGCATTTTAGCCATGACACATTCAAAATTCAAATACAACGCCGAGCGTTCTATTCCACTACAAAGCCCGGGATCCATATTTGGAGGGGGTATATTTTCAAAAAAAGTGAGTAAAAGAAAAAGCTTTGGTGAATTGAACATAAGGCTCGGAGCCTTGGGCATTATTTTCAGGTGAAGATGGCAGTACAGTGAGTACGCCCAATCCCTACCTGCTGGAAAGTAACAGTCATTCCACATTTATCTAAAACCGGAAGAAAGAGTACAGTCTTGCCCTTTTCTCCGATCATCGACGATGCATCTGGTGATGAAGGTACATCTGGCGAGGCAGCCAAACATGCAGGGCCCTTGATGTCGTGGAGAACCCGTTCCTCTGACCAGCTGTACTCCCCATCAACAATAAAAGCCGATATATCACTGCCAGTTATCTTAAATTGCATATACAGATTTGAGTCATCTGCTGGGTCTCCAGCCTCTGGCTCGGTCTGCGGAACATGACACACAAAAAGTGTGGAAAGTGAAGTTGTCAGGGAGCTTCAGAACACCATACCAACTACATTTGCAGCTGGTGCAAGACATACAGCGAAGGATGATTTTGACAAACAAATAAACCTGTGAAAGAAAAAGGAAAAAAAAGAAAGGGACACTCGAAAAAAGGAAACATATTAAAATAGATGATTTAGACAAGATGCCAGGAGCTGCAGTCGAAACTGGCATTGTCAGAAGTATATCGAATAGTATGCATCATAGCTTCAGGCTAGGGCCAAGTTGTAAGGTCAAAAGCATACTTGCACACTGTGGCGGTGCACGCACTGCGACGTGAGGATGGGTCATGCCGAGCACCGCACAGAACACACACACACACACATGCAGTGCCCTGGGCGTGCGCGATCACCCCTAGTGCGCACAGAGTTCTTTTCTTTTGTGCAACGGTCACCACAACAATCCCTTTTTGACCCTCATGCATGGATCAAAAATTGAAACAACTTCACCTCTATAGCAAGCACCATGAAGCACACTAAAATGAGCAGATCCAAAATTGAAACAGATTTCCCTATATATCAGACAAAATAAAGCACACAAATACCGTCGTATTCAGTGTTGGTTCCCAGTCGGACCAGGGACCCCTCCCCCGACCAGGAGCCTGCCCGTTGGACTGGCCGGTCGTCCGTCCCGGTTGGCTCCCGGTTCTACCCAGCGCATTTTTGCTGGGGATGATAAAAAAAATTTTTAGGCCTGTGTTGCTTTCTAGACCTCGCAGACCCTACCTCAAGGCGTACTGTTGCCACTAGCACCTTTTTTAGTACTTCCTTGAACTAATTTCTTATTGTTTTTGCGCACTAAGTCGAGGAATACGTTTATTTGCCAATATGATGGTTGGTAATAGTTTAGTGAAGATTTTGAGTGGATTTGCTAGGACTATGTTGTCCATGGGAGGTATCATGTATTTAGCTCATCTTTCACCTTTTTTCATTGTTTTCACATTAACTGGGTTAGGTGTTGCTGTATTACAAGCTTATGTTTTTACTATTCTAATATGTATTCACCTAAATGACGCTTTAAATCTTCATTAACCACTTTCTCCCACTTCGTGGCCTCTGGTGACACAACCGCCGGGTCATGAAACATACGAACCCGGCCCGGTAGGTCCCTCTTTTAATGAAACAAACAGTGGCCAATCTTAGCCACTGATCTTTGTCGATCGGCGGCCAAGATCGGTCGCAATTCAAACTTGGGGGTTCAAATGGCATGCGCGGAAGACTACACTGCCCACCCTCCTCGGCTTCGAATTTGCCACACGTTTGAAGCCTCCTGCCCGGTGCCGCGCGATCCCATCATGCCTGTTTCACACTTGGAGACATGCAATCCAGTGCTGCCGCCACCCTTGCATCATCATCCTTGAGGGCGACGTCCCATGCTGCGCGATCTCATCATGCCTGTTTCACACTTGGAGACGTGCAATCCAGTGCTGCCGCCACCCTTGCATCATCATCCTCGAGGGAGATGCCCCGTGCTGCTGTGCTGCCATGCGAGCCCGCCATCACGAGCCAAGGTGCACGTGTGCGTGTGTGTGTGTGTGTGTGTGTGTGTGTGTGTGTGAGAGAGAGAGAGAGAGCTGTGAGCCTCCTCTTCGTCTTCTTTTTTTTCTCCTCCTCCACTACTTCCTTCTCTCCTATTCATCATCCTCATCGTCATCTTTTTCTCCACCTCCTCCTCCTCCTCCTCTTCTTCTTCTTCTTCTCCTTCTTCTTCTCCTCTTCTTCTCCTCCTCATCCTCTTCCTCGTATCCTCCTCCTCCTCTTCTTCATCCTCCTCACCTCTTTCTATCCTTTCCTCCTCCTCTCCCTTTCGTTTTTTTCCCTTTTGTCTGACAAAAAAAAATCCGCCGTCGAGATGCCCCCGCCGTGCTCCCATCAACACGCAAACCCCTCCCCCTCCTCCACATCCGACTCTTCTTCACCTCCTGCGTGTCTTCCTCTTCTCCTTTCATTATTCTCCTCCTCCTCATCCGCTTCTTCTTCTCTTCTCCTCCTCCACTCCCCTTTGTTTTTGTTTTTTTTTCCCCCGAAGAAAAGTCTACCTCGCCCGTCAATACCCCCCGTTGTCACGCAAAGCCCTCCCCTTCCTCCGCCTCCTACTCTTCTTCTTGTCCTGTGTCTTCTTCTTCTCCTCCTCTTCCTCTTGTTCTTCTCCTCCTACTCTTCTTCTTCATCCTCCACTCTTCTTATTTATCCTCCTCCAGTCCCCTTCGTTTCTTTCTTTTTCCCAGAGAAAACTACAAAAAGTCGACCTTGCCAGTCGACATCAACACCACCCCTTCGTCCCGCCATCGTCCCATTCTTCTCCTCCTCCACATCTTCCTCCTCTCCTTCTCCTCTTTTCTTTTTCTCCTCGTCTTCGTGTTCGTCCTCCTCTCCTCTTCGTTTCCTTCCTCCTCTCCTGGTGTTTCCCTTCTCCTTTTTTCTTCTTCTTCTTCTTCTTCCTCCTCTTCACCGTCTCCTACTCTTTCCTCTTCACCCCACCGGTCGTCATATCCATGGTCGTTGTAACACCGCCACTAACACTAACACCCCCACCATAACCCCCCGGAAACATGCACCACCAGATCAAAGTTTCGAGTTCAAGGTGAGCATATCCACCACCCGGTAAGGAGCACCTCAGCAATCACGAAAAAAAACAACCAAAATGATTTCTATACTATCTATAGTGGTTCAATGAACAATTCCCCACGAGGCGTTCATCTTTCCCACCAGTTTTCTTAGCGGATTCTGACTGTTCTGGCGAGTGTAGTCAAACACCGCTTTCCAAAAAAAAAAAAAAAAAAAAAAAAGAGACCGGTTTTGAGCCCAACCGGGAATTCCGGTTGGAGGACCTAGGTCGATCCGGGCCAGTCCAACCGGCTGGTTGCCGGCTCAACACTGGTCGTATTGCCTTTTTCTTGTACAGTCCTTTCTTCGCTTTCCTCTTACTCTGGCTTTTGTGAAGGTGGTGTGCATGAGACAGAGAAGAGATGGAGAGAGTATCATACCTGGAAGTTATACATTCACGGACAATGTGCCCTCATAAAAGTCCACAAAAGCTCCATATCGTGAACTTCGATGAGGGTGTCTCGTGTCCTTGAATGTACACAAGCAACCTGAAAGGTTGAATACAGTCACGATGAGGGTGCACAGTGTTCGGGAAATAGGATTGATACAGAGAACATAAACATGGCCCGTGCACATATTGTAAACAAACTAAAGCTCCCTATCCGACAACATCACACATCCTCATCATGACTGTATCCTACCTGAAAGGCAGCTTCAATGCATTAAGGAAGGGCGGGGTAACAACCACTTCACGAACTCGACGATCCATGAAGTAGCAATTAGCCCTCTCTGTAATAACCCATGTAGTAAGCCTCGCTGAAACTGAGACCCAGGCCGAACAGGGGGAAAAAGACCCCAGTCAAGACTCGGGGCCTGGACGAGGCACAGTTGACAAAGTCAACTGTCGAAAATTCCAACAGTCCAAAGGTACCTAGCCCAGGCCGCAGGTCAAGCACACACACTTGTTTGTATGCAGGTACCCAGACAGCTTCAGGTCCAAGGGAGAAGTCTGCAAATGTACAATCCGGGCCCTCAGCTGTGATTCGATCTGAATGACTGTGGGAAAAGTACCCGAGGCCAGACAGCCTCGACATTTGTTACTTAAGGCTGACCTTGAGTAAGTCGAGTATTCAGTCTTGCTATGCTGTGTTGGCGCTAGTTCCACTTTGACTAGACGCTGGCTTCATGCTGGCGCGACACTGGCTACACGCTGGCTGTGCGCAGGCGTTGTGGACGACAGCGCAAGGTGGAGGCAGCACGTTGGCTGTTCTTCTGTGCGCCACGCAATGCTGATGTGGCGCTGCCTCTGGTCTTCATTGCATGCTGATGTGGCACTACCTATGGTCTTCATAGCATGCTGATCTGGCGCTACCTACGGTCTACATTGCATGCTGATGTGGCACTACCTATGGTCTACATTGCATGCTGATGTGGCGCTACCTATGGTCAAAGGCATGCTGATGTGGTGCTACCTAAGGTCTACATTGCATGCTGATGTGGCGCTACCTATGCTCTATATTGCATGCTGATGTGGCGCTACCTATGGTCTACATTGCATGCTAACGTGGCGCTGCCTCTGGTTTACGGTGCATGCTGATGTGGCGCTGCCACTGGTCTTCATTGATGATGTGGCATATGCCACCCATCGCGACTGCTGACATGGCACTGTCCACGCTGTCTACATGAGGTGACTGGTTGTGAGGAGGAGGAAGGTCGGGATCTGCGGATGAAGGAGGTCGGGTACTCACCTGAGGTTGACATCGTCACTGGTATCTGTTATATCTTCATGGTCTTCACGAGATCAAGTGCCACGTGGCACTACTGTGTGTGAACAGGAATATACTTATTATCATTATTGATGTGGAGAGGGGAGAAGCCCGGAGAAGGAGAGGGATTCGAAGGGATTATTACTGTGTGACCTCTCATCTTCTCCCTTGTCTGTTCCCCCTCCTCTCTCTTTCTTTTGATGGTAATGAGATACTGTTGAGATTTCACTTCACGATGTGGAGACTTTGGCGCAGATATTGAGACTTCTGATGTTTGACGACTTCTGAGTATCCGCCAGACTGGGTTCATTACACTCTCTCTTTCTCTCTCAAAATTGACAAGCTCTGTATACTGTGCAATACAGTCATGATGATGGTGTTTGGTGTTCTCTTCATCATGACTGTATCCTACCTGAAAGGTAGCTTCAATGCATTAAGAGAGAGAGGGGTAACGGCCACTTCACGAACTCGACGATCCGTCAAGTAGCCATTAGCCCTCTCTCTTTCTCTCTCAAAAACGATTAGCTATGTTTCCTCTGCAATACAATCATGATGATGGTGTGTGGTGTTCTCCTACTATTAAACCACTAGTACCTCCGAGCCTGTTTTTGCCAACCCTGAATTTCACTGCGCACCGAAAGTTGCCAAGCCTGGGTCCCATTGTGTTTTCTTTTATGCTTCTCTTCGGAAATGGAAAAAAAAAAAAAAAAAACTACGCTACGGACATGAAAGCGGCCGGATGCAGATTCTGGGGGACATGTGAGAGTATGCACCTCCAACGGGCGTTACAGCCCTGCTGAAATCACGGTAGCAGGAACAAACAAAAGAAAAAAAAACAAAAACTCAGCGACAACTCTTTGGACGTGAAAGCAGCTAGATACAGACTCTGGAGTACCTGTGACAGTATGCCCTCCGAACGGGCATTACAGCCCTGCCGTAATCACAACAGCAGAACAAAAAAAAAGAAAAAGAAAACAAAAAGCAACAACACTTTGGACGTTAAAGCAGCTGGATACAGAATCTGGAGTACGAGTGAGAATACGCCCAACCTCTGCCCTCGCTCCTTCCATCTGCCCTCCCTCCGCCCGACTTCACCCTGCCGTCTTTCCCCTTCCTCCCGGCCTCGGTCCACTTCCTCCTCTTCCTCTTCACGCTTTTTCCCATGCTCGTCTCCCCCTTACCTCTTCCCTTCCTCCATACGTCTCTCAACCTCTGAACTACGTTCTGCTTTCTGTCCTCCCTTCGCCCTACTTCTCCCTGCCGCCTCCCTTTTCTTCCGGCCTCGTCTGGACCTTCTCTTAAACCTCCCTGTGCCCTCCCTCGCCTGGCCACCTGACTCCCTTTCCTTCGCCCAATCTCCGCCTGACCTCCTTCCCTCTATCTCCTCCGTCCTACTCCTTCCTCCGCCTGATTTGCACTGACCTCCTTCTTCCCTCCCCTTCCTTCCTTGGCCCGGTCTCCACCTGACCTCCTGCTTCCGCCCTACTCTCTGCCACCTTTCGCCTCCCTACAGGCCTCCTCCGCACCTTCTCTTCAACCTCCCTCTGGCCTCCGTCCGCCTATTCCCCTTCGCTCGCCCCCTTCGTTCGCCTGATCTCTGTCTGACCTCCTCCTTCCCTCGATCTCCTCCCTCCCTTTCCTTCCTCAGCCCGATCACCACCTGACCTCCTATTTCCATTCCTGCCTCTGTCCTACTCCCTACCTCCCCCTTCCTACCTCGACCGGCCGCCCTTCCTTCGTAACGCCTGACGTAAGAAATACTTCTTTCCTTCATCCGGTGGACGTAAACGCGCCATTTGTTATCAAGATCGCTCCATTTCTTTTAAGATATCAACACTGTTGCACCCGCGCAAGAAGGAGAGAGGGAAAGCAGGAGAGAGAGAAACGCATTTCACCCAACACGCTTCCTTCCTCGCACCTTTTTTGTCCTTGTCTGTCTCTTCCACCACCACGTCTTCTGCCTCCTCAAGATCTTCCTCGTCAACATTCTCCCTCGGTCTTTTCTTTTTGGAGCGGCCTTATGATTAACTGCCCTGCGCCAGGTATTTCAGGCTATCGATATTTTTTTCCATATTTCATTCTCTTCCTCCCCAATCCCTACACAAACCTCTGGTGGGTCCCTCTCTCTCTCTCTCTCTCTCTCTCTCTCTCTCTCTCTCTCTCTCTCTCTCTCTCTCTCTCTCTCTCTGTGTCTCTGGAGGGAGGAGAGATCTCTCTCCTCCCTCCATAGAGAGAGAGAGAGAGAGGGAGAGAGAGAGAGAGAGAGCACTGATTCATGATGAGCACGGACCCACGATGAGCACCGAGCACGAAAAGCACGTCTCCACGATGAGCACGAAAAGCATGTATCCACGACGAGCACGAAAAGCACGGATACCGAGCACCAAAGAAAAGCACGGATCCCCAATGAGCACGAATCCACGATGAGCACGTATCCACGATGAGCACCGAGCACCAAAAGCACAGATCGACGATGAGCACGTGATCATGCACCAAAGAAAAGCACGGATCCACTATGAGCACGAAAAGCACGGATCCACGATGAGCACCAAGCACCAAAAGCACGGATTGACGATGAGCACGTGATCATGCACCAAAGAAAAGCACGGATCCACGATCAGCACGTGATCATCCACCAAAGCACGGATCCACGATCAGCACGTGACGAAAAGCACGGATCCACAATCAGCACCGAGCACCAAAGATGAGCAGCAAGTTCCCACCGAGCA